GAGATGAAACATAAGGCTGAAAGAATGCAAATTTTGTTGTGAAACAAGCGCCAGACCGCCGATCAGTTCAATGAAATACACCCCGTGCCTATCACGTCACCACCTACGGAGGTATTTTTCTATCAACAGTTTCGGCCATAAAAATAGAACATGGAATCAGAGTTAACAGTGTGAATTATTATTAAATTGTATATATGTACATCCAACTGCAGATGTAGTAGTTGCTTTGAAAGTAACCTTAAATAAGATAGGGAGATACGTAGGATAAGATAAGAGATAATGCTGCTAGCAAGTGAATGTTTTAAATTTGAATAAAAATATCCTTATCTTTAATCCTCTTATTTTGACCGCTGCTGTATGTATAGGAACTACACAAAGTATTTAGATTTACGTATGTGCTACTTTGTGGAATATATGCCACTGCAAATTCAATGCCAGAGCATGGAAAATTTCTACTGAAAAGCGCTACCCTGCCTTGTTGCTCACACCTCTCTCAGGTTTTTATTTTTTCCGCTTTTTCTTTTTCGTTTTGTGCTTTTTAATTAAGCGATTTGAGCTGTGATAAGCAGGTAACGGAGAGTGTGTGTGGGCGTGTCTGCCACCTAATCAAAATCAGCAAAAAATGTCGCATAAATACAGGCACACACTGTGAAAACAAAAGAAGGGAAAATGTATCTCAGGGTGAAAGAGATAAGATAAAAAGTCTTGCCACCTAAAAAACGACAGCGAGTGGCTGAGGAACTCTTCTTCCAAATGGCTTGCTTGTTTTTGTTCTAGTATGCACTTACGCCGTTCGCACATACAAGTGTTAATTATTAATTGTGCAATGCGATTTTGTTTAATTTGCTGCAGCTGTCGCCTGCCTTGAGCGCTGTTTATTGATTTCGTCCATGACGCCACTTTGACCATAACGGAGAACTTCTGTTTGCTCTGGGTACACGCTGAACTCATTGGGGGTCTGAAATAAAGTGCTCTTCGGGATTCAAGGTCAAATTTTCATGATTTCATCCAGCTAAAGAATTTTCCCCATTTCTAGATGCTATAAATACACGCAAATCGAATTAAGAATATTTTCGAAAATAAATTTCCTTTGCTCAAAGTTGAACTGCACTGCAAATGGAATATGGCAAAAACGGAAATTTATTTAATGCCCCCCGCCACTCTGCAGGTTGTAAAAATATCAGCGAAAAGATTTCTCACTGGCACCGAATTTCCCCCAATCTAAAAATATATTTGTGCGGTGAAAAACGTCATTAATTGCCGCAAAAAGCATCGGAAAGTCGGAGAGAAAAGCAAAGGAAAGGCCAGAGAGAATGAAAAACGACAATGTTTGACATAAAATGGGAAAATATTTCTAAAGGCATGCTAGACAGCAGCCAAATGAATGTAGTTTTTCCTAATGGATTTCATTGGCAGACCCACATAGTCTCATTCCCGAACCTTGAACATTGACTCATTTTTAAGCTGATTAAAATTGGCAGTTTATTGTATGCAATAAATGGTTCATTCAACAAGCTGGACTTCTTGGATTAATGCAATATAGACAGATGAAAATTTGGCAAATGACATCACTTACTACGATAAGGAAGTAAATAATAATTGTGGAGTCAATATACAGTTATAAGAATCCTTGAAGTTAAATGAAAAGTTATTTTCGAAACTGATTTGTCCACTGAGTCATTGGCATTCTTTTAAAAATAAATCAATACTCGGAGAGATTAATTTTTCAAAACCAATAAATAAAATATATGTGTGGACATCTTATGATGAATTTCTGTGAAACATACCTTTGATATTAGAAAGAAGATAAATTCATATATTAAATATGTCTTTCGTGCTTTTCGCCTGAACAAAAGCACGGTATTCCAGCCCTAGTGTTTCTAATTGACTTTTTATCGTTTCATTTCGCGGCGTTTTTCTCATTTCTGACAGCTACACAGCTGATTGCTCCTCTCGTTAGCGAGGCGTGCGAAGGAAAAATGCAAACATTTTGCAAAACAAAGGCAAATCTGGGGCTCGGCCCAGTAAGCGTTTCGGCACCGAAGTCGTCTGCCCGGTCAGACAGACAGAGAAGTGAGGGCAATCATCTAATTATAATGAGAGAAACATTTGCCCTCCACTCAGACGGTCGTTAATTGGCTGTGTGCAAAATATGTTTACTCTGGAGTACTGCAGGGTTTTTTTTTTTACCCTTATAGCATATATTCTACCTGGCGCTGGCTTCGTAAATAGTATAAATATTCGTGTACTGGCAAATAAAATTGATTTTCCCCCTTGCAATGGATTCCTCAATTGCCAATAGAACAAACAATCAAACAAAAAGCTTCGACCAGACTGTAGTTTTGCTTGAGGCAAGCTGGCCATTGCAAATAACGAAAATATTTTCAAGCCAAACACAAAAACCTGACTGAAAATCCCACTAGGGAGCTGAGGGTGGGTATATATAAAACAGGAGTTCCACTGCAAATAGATTGAGTAAGCAATTTGTCGAGAATTTCACGAAAACTTTACGTTTTACACATATTTCTACCGATACAAAGCGATTCACCGAAGATGGCTGCTGTTTTTATGTCTTTGTTTACACCAGAGCCTAGAGTAAATCAATTCAACTTGGATAGAGTTGAAAGAAATATGTGTGCGGGCTTTATTTTTAGAGCAGCCAGAGGAATGAAAGCGAGCATATAAAATCCACAAAGGAACAGAGAGTTTCTGGCAGGGTACAGGAATAAACCAGTCCCAAAAAAAGTCCTATTTCGATTAAATTACATCCTTACATTCGGAATATACAAAACTGAATGACATCAAAACATGTGCATGAGTATTAAGGTCCATCTCTTGGAACACACGAACAATATCTTTAAGGTATTCGCGATTTACAGAACTTTTTCCAGTGTGAAATTAGGGAAACTGTTTCAGTGAGACAGGTATAACCCAGCAATAACAATTCGTACATAACGAGGAGAGAAAATGGAAGGGAAAACACAACACCACACCGCGCACACATAAAGCGGCGGAAAGTGAGGTCAGTTATGTCAAAACAGACAGCCAGAAATGTACACAAGCGAGTGAGTGTGTTTGTAGTCATTAAGAGGTTACCAAGCTTCAACTGACAGAGGAAAATCGGCGGAGAAAGAGTCAACTTACAGCAGGCAAATTGACTCTGAGCACGCTCTTTAACTTCTGCGGTCGGGCAGAAAAGTTAAAGCTGCAGCGAAATTAACAACAACCGCGGGGAGAATGTGCGTCAAAAAGGTGAACAGACGCAAAGCAGGTCGTCCCGAAGGGAGGGGACAGCCCCAGAGACATAGTAATTTTATAATAGAGCTCGTCTTTCACCCGATACGGGGGACTATAGATAGAGAATGCGGAGCGCTTCATATGCGAAGGCATTTTATGGCAGCAGGCACATTCTCCTTCACAGTGAAAACTCCAGTGACCGCACAAATTGTTGCTCATACACATGCTGGCACGACACATATTTGGGTTGGCTGTCTCGGTTAACTCGTTAAAATACTTTTCGGAAATGAAATCCTTCGAGAAAATCGGTTACAATCTTTATAAACAATAAAAGATAAACTGGTCGGTCAAACTTCGAATAACTAATGAAAACATCAATTAAAATAACGAAATTACAAACAAAAGTTCCAGTCTCAAAAATAAAATGACAATAAACATTTAAGGTTATAGAACAACTTTTTTTATTTTGGTTCTTACTTGGAACAAGTTGTAGCTATTGAAAAGAATTAATATTTACCAGTCTATATTGATTAATCGGCTTCCTATTGAGTTTTTAGAATGCTTTTACGGTCTTTTAATTTAGGAGTCTCAAGCTTCTGTCTACAACACATCTCAGTGGTTTCGTTAAGTAAATCTTTATTTTAAAACCCGTGACGTCAAAGTTAAGTACAAAAGCATACTGGGCCAGTAGTGTATCACACACACTCGCGAAGCAGTTAATGGCAGGTGACAAACCCGCTCGGACAAAAGCGAAAAGCTCGTAGGGGGAATCGATCGCAGGTAGAAAACTGGAATATTACCGCCGAGCGGCCAGAAACGTACAGTGCTATACGAGTGTGATTTTGTTTTCTTCTGCACTAAGGCGAAACAAAATTAATTGCGCACAAGTCACGTTCAATTTGGCAACTCTCCACTGGGCGTGCTGGTTGCCCTGTAGATTACTGTAATTAAACTGATCTGTCCGACGATATACTAAGTAAGTTTTATGACTTGATTCCAGCATTGCAAGGGCCTTGTCACCTGTCTGACAGGTGCGAGAGAGCCTCCGAAATGATTTACCATTTACCATTTTGACACATTTATGCTAATTTCGAGTAGGCTCGACAAATTTCGTGTGTGTCCCCACACGTATGTATCAATTGGAACTTGTTAATTTGCTGAGCAGGTTCTCCCCTTCCCTTTCCCCTGCTGCCCAACAATCACTCAATCAATTAGAACCAGTTCTTTGTCTGACTTTCGGTTGGGTTGCGCTTAACCCCATGCATACATCAAATTAGTTCCCTTGACGTTTTGAAAATTATTTGGATTGGTTTTAAATCTAATTAAAAGAAAAACGGAACGAAGCTACAATTATATTTTCAAACTTGCAGGCCGTTAGTTTTAACTTTTACATTAACCAATTAAGATTTTTTGGACCGATATAGTCTCTGCAAGGTGTCGCCTTGCAAGTTATCGTTCAGATAAATTATAGGCTTCCAAAAAAACCTAAATGCTTTTAAGACAAGTTTATCTGGTCTTTACCTTTTCCGGACACAAATATATCGGGGACTTTACAAAATAAATAAAATATATTGATAAAATTCTAGAAAACTTAAACACCGAGACTTCATAAGTTTGGTTTTGTTTCTCAATTAGGATATATAATGTACCATGGGTACTTAATGGGTTAAAACATTGAACGGAAATAGAGCGAGCTTTGGACCAAAATGGTTGCGATTCGATTTGAATTTGTTGTGGGCCAACTTCCGTTGGTCTTGGCATACCTTTTGCAGTTTCTCGATTTCTCAGTTTCTGTGTCTCAGTTTCTCCTTAGCTGTGCTCTCTTATTTGCCTACGTCACGGAGTACGGAGATTGAAGATGCTTTTTTAGCTTTCAGCTGCTGTTCGGTTGCACTGTGGATGTGTATAGCGTTTGACATAATTGAATTAAAACTGTAGTTCACCAGAGAATTTTTGCACAACGCATCGCGCGACAGGTCGGGGAGGGGGAGGGGTCCAAGTGGGGTCAACACATGTAAATGCGGTGTCGAAGCAAAAAATACACAAAGCAGCAGCGGATTTTAAGTAAAAGCCCGTGTGCGAGTGTGTGTGGGCAGCCGAATGGGAGAATGGCAGAATGGGAGAACGGTGGAATGGCGGAATGGTAAGGAAGAGTGGAAGGTGAGAGAGCGCAGCTGTTTTGATGGGGCTCTTTGCCTTTGCTCTTTCTTTCACTTCACTTCGGTTTGTTGATTCCTTTCTTTTCGTTTTTTGCAGTAAGATTAGGTAACTTGTGTCTATATGAACATAATTCTTAACACATTTTACTGCTTGACACACACACTTATCATAAATATGTATGTTTCAAACACACACTCACACAAACGCACACTCGGTGCGAGAGAGACACAAACACACATACTCGCACGCACATACACACACACACAGGCAGACAGCGGGCAACAAAATCGATATTCTAAAAATAATATAAGTAAAAAATATATATGCTCATACGAAATCCAAACGAATCTCAATTGTAGCCTCCGTACGCATGTGTGAGTGTGCAATTACATATTTATTTATTTATTGAAACTTTGGGAACACCGAACTGCGTCTGGGCTTCAGCCGCTTACTGCGCACTTGAAAATTTGCATTCGAATAATAATCGCCACGAAAAACAGCCTCGATTCGGTGCTCGGCTTATTTAGCTGCGCTTTTTCGGATTTCAATTTGCGGTTTTGCTTTGTTTCGAGCTTGCAGAATATTTTAGGGACCGACCGATAAAGCGTTCTATATCAGGAGTGTATATAAAGATTTCTATATCTTTGCACCCAACCGACGACGAAGGCGGCATACGGCAAATGTGGCGATATTTTTTTCATTCGCCCGACTCTCTCTCTTTCGTCTCGCTCTCTCTTTCTCTCCCCCACATGTGTATATACTATAGTACGCGAGAGCGCGCACACGGCGAAGAAAAGCTGAGAAATGAGCAGTACTTGAAATATTTGGCTTATTGTTATTGTTGTTCTCGACAGAGAGTTAATACTGGCGCACAGTGTCACAATTTCACACCCAAATGCCTGGCCTAGTCACTATCGCAATTACTCATTAGCCTAAATTTCGATACCACTGTGCCAGATTTCTGGGTGAGAGCGTGGTGAGTTTGTTGTTGTGCCACCACAAGCTGTTGTTGCGCGTCGCTCTCTCCCGCACGGTCACACCACAGGTAAGATATCGATGGCCGCAGCACGGTCATACTGAATGGGACTCGGCCGCCGTTTTATCTTTATCGGGGCGATAGCTAAACACTGGCTATCGTCGTCGACTGTCGCTGTCCCTCTCGCACTCTCTGTGTGCACCCACTCGCACAATTCCCTTTATGCCCTTTCGCCTGCGTTATTATCCTGCTGATTTTATGTAATTTCGGCACAATGTTTGCTCGGCACTGCAGCTGCAACGACGGCGGGCACACAAAAAAAGCGACGCAACGCACACACACCTCAGATTCTGGTTCGGTTGTACACCCCGATTCGCTGCCGTTTTCCTGCGGATTTCGCGCACGCACTGCCACAATTTCACCTTATGATCGCGCCGCAGTGGAGGACGTGGACTTTTCGATCGAGTTGAGCGGCCGGCGGTTGAGTTTTATGCGAGAAATATAACTTTTTTCGGCAACAGAAAATCGTTCAAAGTAGAAGTGACGCCATCTTTAGTAGGGATGCGAAAACATCGATGGCACTATCGATAGCATATGGTATCGTTCGCCAGCGTTGCCAGATCGTCCGTGCATAAGCAATAATCGATGTAATCGATTGGAAATCGAATAGTTATTAGGAAATCGACTAGTTGAAATGACTAATTGAGATATTGAAATGGAATCAACGCAGACTAATTGATAGCGAAAAACGGTACAAAGAGCCATTAATTGCAGCAATTTCACCTGCCACAGGTCACCAGATCGCCACACCGCGTTCCAGAAGCTGAAAACGCAACCGAAACCCCACAAAGACAGCCTGAGACAGCGTCGCAAAGTGGACAACTCCCAGTTTTCAGAGCAGCATCACCTGCAGCAGGAGGAGCATCGCGACAAAAAGGCGAGACTGAGGCGCAGCAGAATGTCCTCGCTGTCCGCGTCCGCGGAGAATGTGTCCAGCCTGGGCCTAGGAGCCGGAGGCGGTGGCGGCTCCCACGACGGCAACTCGCAGCAGGGATCGGACGGAGGATCGAGCATGTGCCTGGAACTGGCCCTGGAGGGTGAGAGACTCTGCAAGGCCGGCGACTGCCGGGCAGGCGTCGCCTTCTTCCAGGCAGCCATCCAGGCGGGCACAGAGGACCTGCGCACCCTGTCCGCCATCTACTCGCAGCTGGGCAACGCCTACTTCTACCTGGGCGACTACAACAAGGCGATGCAGTACCACAAGCACGATCTCACGCTGGCCAAGAGCATGAACGATCGGCTGGGCGAGGCCAAGTCGTCGGGCAACTTGGGCAACACGCTCAAGGTGATGGGTCGCTTCGACGAGGCAGCCATCTGTTGTGAGCGCCACCTGACCCTCGCCCGCCAGTTGGGCGACCGCCTCTCCGAGGGACGGGCGCTCTACAATCTGGGCAATGTGTACCACGCCAAAGGAAAGCATTTGGGCCAGCGGAACCCGGGAAAATTCGGCGACGATGTGAAGGAGGCCCTGACTCGCGCCGTGGAGTTCTACCAGGAGAACCTCAAGCTCATGCGGGATCTGGGAGATCGTGGAGCCCAAGGCAGGGCATGTGGTAACCTGGGAAACACGTACTACCTGCTGGGCGACTTCCAGGCGGCCATCGAGCATCACCAGGAGAGGCTTCGCATTGCCAGGGAGTTCGGCGATAGGGCAGCGGAACGACGGGCCAACAGCAACCTGGGAAACTCGCACATTTTCCTGGGACAGTTCGAGGACGCGGCCGAGCACTACAAGCGTACCCTGGCCCTGGCCATGGAGCTGGGCGAGCGCGAGGTGGAGGCACAGAGTTGCTACAGTCTGGGCAATACCTATACGCTGCTGCACGAGTTCAACACGGCCATTGAGTACCACAACCGGCACTTGGCCATTGCCCAGGAGCTGGGCGACCGCATTGGCGAGGCACGGGCCTGCTGGTCGCTGGGCAATGCGCACTCCGCCACAGGTGGACACGAGCGAGCGCTGCGATATGCGGAGCAGCATTTGCAGCTGGCCAAGGAGCTGCACGATCCAGTTGGTGAGAGCACGGCCAGGGTTAACATCTCGGATCTGCGTAAGCTGCTTGGAATGCCGGAGTCGGAGCCCTCGCCCACCGAGGAGGAGGCGCGTTCGAGCGCCTTGGACCACTCGGCCAGCGGTCATCAGTCGGATGGCTCGGAGAACTCACAGGGAAGAATGGTGAGTAATTACAGTCGAGATTTGAGATACATTTTTCCAATCCAATACATTTTCCTATCCCTTATTTTTGGAAAAAAGAATCTTGCATGGTTTTTGTTTATTACCCCCCGCTGTCTGCGGTGTTTGGCCACTAATCGTAGAATAAATATTTAGACAACAAGAAACCCGAAATGAAGGGTGGCCAACTATAAAATAGAAACCCGGAAAGGAACAGCTTCATAAACATATTTTTCATTATTTTATTTGATTCCTTTCAGGTGCGTGTTCGTCGCCAGAGCATGGAGCAATTGGACCTGATCAAGATCACGCCGGATGGCAAGCGCCTACAAGAGGAGAAGCACCGGGCGCAGGCCACCACAAAAGCCAAAGACGACGACTTCTTTGAGATGCTCTCCCGTTCGCAGTCAAAGCGCATGGATGACCAGCGCTGTTCGATCAAAATAAACCAAGCTGGAGCTCCGGCAGTGGCCACCGGCGCCACTCGCAAGCCGCTGGTGCAGCAGAACTCGCTGTTCGTGGACCCCACCAACCTGCCAGGTCTGAAGTCGCCAACGACGGCCAATGCTGCCGCCATCGGTCATGGGCATGCGCATCCTCCGCTGGCTAGAAGTGCCACCACTACTCAGCAACCAGACGACGCCTTCCTGGACATGCTGATGCGTTGCCAGGGCTCGCGGCTGGAAGAGCAACGTTCGGAGCTGCCACGCCCCAATGTCACAATGGATGCGGAGGCAGAAGCGCCGCAGCCACAAGCTCCGGATGTAGCTGCCGGAGGCGCTGCCCGCGGACAGACTGGACGCGGAGCCACAGTGCCCGACGAGGACTTCTTCTCGCTGATCATGAAGGTGCAGAGCGGTCGCATGGAGGATCAGCGCGCCTCGATACCGTTCCGCAGTGCAAACAACAACAACAACAGTCGGAGCAACAACAACGGCTCGGCTGGCGGGGCTGGAAAGTAGAGGAGCCGGAATGAGTCCAGAATGTCAGTCCAACCAGAAACAATCCTATCAGTCCATCCCTGGCCGCAACTCCCAAATTCATTTTTGTTATACCTACGTACATCTTGCGGCCATTTTTTTCAGCTGTTTAGCCGGCGGCTAAGCATTTTGTTCTTTTTATAAGATTTATATACAAACACACGTAATGGATTATTAATTTATGACTACCGACTAACCAAGTAACCAAATATTAGGGGCGTGCGTGCCCCGAACACGAGCGGAAGCAGAAACAGGCGCAGAAAGAAAGAGAAACTACCATTGGGTGATGAGGCACTCACTCATCCAGTCATGACTCATTACACACTCACCTTGGAGAGAGCTGGCCATGATATTGAACAATCTGCACACGAGTTTTACGATATTAACGTTTGAATTGCATGTGAATCTAGCTTAAGCTGATTGTGAACTAATCCCATTTGCTCAATAGACGGAACCAAGTCTTCTCTACGATCAACGATCTTTACTACTACTATATATGTATACATTCTCTAACCGCATTCAGCTAAACCCTAAGTTTTAAGTCTAACGAAAATCCACATACATATACCGAATAAGCAATGCATTTTCCAAATCAAAAATCTACAAATATTTCCAATTGTATCCATATGAGTATTGCATTTTGCTCCGAACATATTTTAAGCAACTTACAATTTTTTTTAGATATTAAAACACAAAGAGAGGCGTCTCGGCTTTCCTTTTCTGGACCGGCGCTCTTGTGTTTAGCACGTAGCATACGATATACACATTCATACGTACACATATACAAAATACATATGAACAATATATAGTTATACCAATGTCCGGCGATCGATCGATCGATCCAGGATGGTTCTACACAATATACACAAAAGAAAAAAAATACAAAACTGAGTTCGAGTTGCATGAAATGAAGCCAAAATTTATTGATGTTAAACGTTTATGTGCCGCGGCAGAGGTGTGCGCTCATGGAGCCAATTGTAATGGTCGGCGAATGAGGTGTCATTATGATATGAAGCTGCAAAACATACATACAGGCGGACAAATATGTCATGTATTATTAAATATTAAATTCCAAAAAAAAAAAAACTTTTTGTTGACAAAGTGCAGATATTCTTATTGGGAGGTGGTTAACAATGACCAAAATGAAATCATTAAAAAATATTTATTGACACCTGTGTTTGGTTTTGATTAAAAACAGGAATCGAAAGAAGTCTTTAATTTTCTATATTTTTCTTTTCTTGCTCCTTTTTGAATACGAGAGTAATAAGTATTAGCTCTTTTGAGACCGCTTTATTTTCGAAAAATTATTTGGTCTCGGAAAGTGTTGTTGCCCCGCTTATTCTTCCTTGCTTTACCTGCAATGTACAAGCATACAATGAAAAGCATACAATTTCCATTTAGACTCATTTTGAAGCAAACAAAAGAGTTTTTAGCTACACTCTAAGAGAACCTTTACAATCTCCTTCAGGTTTTAAATTCCATAATCCCAAAAATCAAGAATATTCTTTCGACTTTAAAGCTTTATTCATAAATTAATCGTCTTAGAAGCTAAAATATGCAATAAGTATTCGACAGTGGGGGCCTCTCCAGCCGCACTCCCCTTTTGGCTTGGTTGGGGCAGGATCGAGACCGCTGACCTGGAACTCCTCCCCCCTAAAAGTAGATCTTAAATTTGCTCTTTTTATTTACAAATTGATTTAGATAACTCAACAACCCACTCCTACGCCTTTACACCCAGATGGGCGTCCATGTCACTGGCGGCCAGCACGAAAATGGGCGCCGAATAGTCCACGGCCTTGTCGCCGCTTCCACCGGTGCCACCGCCTTTGACATAGGAGTGTACAGCTTTGTGGCCACGCCCCCTCTTAAGCATCACGTACACGACGAACACACTGACCAGGAAGGCCGAGCTAGTGGCCATGATGAAGAGCACCAATTGGATGGACTCGTCCTGAGCGGTGGCCGCCTGGGCCACTGGCACCACGGCGCTCCGGTGCACAAAGTGGGAGCGGGTCAAGTCCGGACGGAAGTGGCCAGCGGCCAACCGGAAGTCGCCTGCCGCAATGGCCGTTTCAATGGCGAAGGCCAGATCCACCTTGGCTTCGTTATGCAGCTCGAAGCGGACAATCGCTGATCCGTCAAAATTCTCCTGCACGCGGAGATTCTCCACGGACTCGCCGCCAAGCAGCTGCTGCAGCTCCCGCCGGATGGTGTCGTAGGCGTTGCGTACACTTCGTCCGCTACTGTTGGTCAGGTGCAGCTCTATGGCTACGGCCTCGATGGGTACGTGACTGCAGCGCCGGTCCCCGGCTCCGAAAATATGGGTGGCCTGCAGTTGATTGCCAGCGGCATCCACGCACCAGCAGCTACGGCCGTTGCACTGCAGCGGGCGGAAGGCACCCGCCTCATCGCAGCTCACGGGGAACGGAGCTGTTTCCGATAGAGCACGGCACCGGGTGGTCTTCATTTCCATGGGTTTCAGAGTGGCCTGCTCTACGGACAGCTGAGAGTCCAGCAGGGAGTTGGCCAACTCGAGCACTCGTTCGGTGACACTTGACTCTGCCGCACTGGCGGTGGCCGGTAGGATCTTGGCCTCCAGTTCATCAAAATCCAGATCCTCACTGGCCACGTCGTTCAGTTGGGTAAGCTGGGCAATTAGCTGCTCCATCAGTGGGTCTCCCGCGTCAAGGTTCTTGCGGTTACGGGCCTGCCTACTGTTGCAGATGGGTTCGCTCTCCCGGGTGAGGGTTCCCTTCAGCGGAGCACCCTTCTTGTCCGCACACCAGCACACACCGGGAGCTTCCTCGCCAGCGGAAGCTGAAGCTGGCTCGGAGGCGAAAGCCCGACTCACAATCTCCGTGTGAGGTGGCCTCTTGTCTGAAGGCTGCGGCTGCTTGCCCAGACATTGGACGGGGCTCCAGTGGCCGGTGACAGGATCGCAGCGCGGCTGGAACCACACCGAGGAGTGTCCGGTGCGCTGGGCGGCCAGACTGTTCTTCAACTTCAGGCGTTCGCACTGTGTGAGCACTGGGGATGAGAAAGATGGTTTAAGTAAGCAAGAATAACCTCCGAAAAGAAATTCAATCTCACCTGGACACACGGAGTTGCAGGCCAGCTCGTTGTGGAAAAGGTTCTTGGTCTGACAGGCTGGCGCCTCGGCATCGATGACCACGGCCAGGCACTTGTTGGCTCTTGGGCTGAACCGGAAGCGAGTGCTGTTCCGTTCCGACTTGGCGGTGGCCTGGCAGCCACTGTCCATGGACTCGAAGCAGACGTCGCGAGTCTTTGAGCAGCAGACGCCACGATTGGTCACTGGATTCAGCTGGCAGGTGTGGGTGGTGGGACAGGCCTCGTGCTCGTTGTGAGGTCCGCAGCTCATGTCGAGGTCGCCCTGCTGGAGGGGATTTCCCTCGGGACATACAGATGCCCTGCGCGGCACACAGATGGGCATCTTGGGACAGGGGCTGTCCACGCACTCCACGGAGATTAGTTGGCACTCCTCGTGCGGGGAGCAGCTGACCTCGTTGCAGTAGTTTCTGCACTGGCAGGTGGGGCAACCATTGGCGTCCATTTGGTGGCCACTCTCGCACTGGAGGCTGCAGTTGGTCCGGGGACAGGCGAAGCTGGAATTCTCCTGGCACTTGGGCGCTGCCGGAGACTTCACTTTGGTGCCAGGCAGTATCATTCCTTTGTCGTCCACACACCAGCAATGGCCATCGGGGGAGCACTGAATTTGCTCCCACTTGCCGCTCTGGGCATCACACTGGGCCACAGCCATCTGGCGGGCAGGGATTCCCAGCTCGGAGCTCTGGTGCAGTTGGATGGCCTGGAGGTGCTGGCACGCTGTCTTCAGCTGGGGGTCCACGCACTGAGTGCCACAGCCGTTGGAACAACAGCGTCGGGCTCCCTCGCAATGGGCATCCGTGCGACATTCATAAGCGCAGGTATTTGCGTCTAGGTTATCTGGACCTGGGGGCACCAGATAAGGACATTGTCCCGGTTTTCTGGGAAGACATGCCGGCACCGGAGGGCAGTACTCGCCCTCGCAGCTCACGTCAACCACGCGACACTCCTTGCCAGAGCCGCAAGTCACACCCTCGCAGGGATCACGGCACTGACAGGCCGGACAGCGGGTATCCGGATCCAAGGCAAAGCCATACTCGCAGCCCATGCGACAGGTGAGGTCCAGGCAGTCCAGGTCGTCGCGCACGTTCAGGCAGGTCTCCTCGCTGACATTGAAGCCGCGAGTTTGGGGAATCTCGGTGCCGAAGCTGTCCACACACCAGCATTGCTCCACTTCCATTTCGACGAGCTCATCCTCATTCTCCGGCGCCCGTTTGGATGCCGAGGCCACCTTCTTGAAGTCCGTTTCAAAGAGCTGACCCAAGCCCTGCTGGCGATCGGCGCCCATGTCAATTACCTTGGCACTGCGACCCATCACAGGAGCTGCCACCTGGACCTTGAGGGCACTGTCCTCCACTCGGTACAGCTTCAGGCGTTCCGTATCACGACGACTGCGCTTTGGAGCACTGGGAGCAGCGCTAGCCAGCAGCATCCTCATGCGACGGATTGTGTTCTCCTCGAGGATCTTGCGCTGCTCGGCGCGAGTAACCCGAATCTTCTTCAGCTGACACTGGCGGCCCTCATAGTCTCCATCGCTGGTGCAACGGGGCGAAGGAACTGCCAGCTGCATGCCCTCCTCTGTGCCCTCCATACGCTCCGAAAAGTCCCTCAAGTATTCGCACACTATGACAGATCTGGGTTAGATATGTGAATATACTTGAGGATATTCGGTACTTACTAGTTTGTTGATGAGCTCCCGTTGCCCCTTCGGCAGGGGTGCTCTGCTCTGGCACTGGACAGCACACACTTTCCGTTTCCCGGTGGAGCTTTGTGCACTTGTATTGTTCCGGGCACATGATGCGGTTGCTCATGGAACGTCCCTGCTTCGACTGCGTATCCGCTTCTGGTTCAAAAAAGGCTGTGGGCTGGAAGCTGCGTCCCTGACGCTCCTCAAAGCAGTACATTACTTCACCGGTTGCCGTGTCGGAGAGCGGTGTTCCCACATCGCAGGGATTGGAGTAGACCAGGTCAGGTTTGCACACGGGCCAGGAGGCGCAGAGCGAGGACCCAGACTCGCACAGAGGATCGGTGGCCACCTCGCAGTGGGAGCCAATGGCACACTTGAAGCCCTCGCAGGGCTCGGAGCACTCGCAGGTGGGACAGCCGTTGTGGTCATTCTGTAATTGTAAAAACCGACTTTTAGGCTAGGATTCCAAGATTCATAATAAAGCCATACCTTAAATCCATATTCGCAGACGGCGGCACAGATGTTGGTGTCGCACTGCTCCATCTGGAAACTCCTGGCATACGAGCGGCTGATCATGTTCTCCCATCCCTCGCAGTTCACATTGTTGGCGGCTCCCATGGTCTCCTTGATCTTGTGCCCGGTGCGGGGATCCACGCACCAGCAGACGAGGCCATTCCGGGAGCACTGTTTGGGTGAGAACTGGCCACCGGGTCCGTTGCACTCGGGAACATAGCCGCGTCCCTCACGCTCGTTGATCGCCAGGATGTCGGCCAGGGCCTTGGCCTGGTGGCAGCCCGTGATATTGCCCGGC